CACACACACACACAGATTGATCGATTGATCAAAAAATAATTCACAACCGAGTGACTTCTCTCGTGGCAACGTATGTATAACAAAGGAAATGCACGCGTTCCGCAGAACTCCCGTTCTCCTAGATAAGAATAAGTTCATGACCATATGACTTTATGAGATCATTGTAAAGTTTGCGTTACAAAATAACTCATGGTTGTGGACTTATTGCATTGTCATACTCGTTTTCGTTCTCTCTCTCTCACTCTGTGTGTGTGTGTGTGTGTGTTCTGTTTGAAATATAAAAAAAACATTTTTTTTACGTCCTTCCTTCCCCCCCGCCCTGATTTAGGTATTGTCTCTGCAACATAATACATTGAATAAGGCAAATATACTTCTCCTTTCTATACAAAAACTTCCATTACTTACGTACCCGTATTGTTTTTTACATAAGCACACATGCATGGTAACCTCAAGAAAAATTTTGCACCCCAATCAATTTTTATGAGTGCGTTGTTTTTCGTGCATCGAGCTGTTAATATCCGCTAACTGATTTCCTTCTATTGTTTTTTGCCACAAAATTTCACAACTCCGATAGGTATCCCAAACACAACTTTAGATTTTGATAATCCGCTTGACAATATAATACACAATACATTTTGTTACATATAAACAATAAGAAATTAGAGCTACACATTTGTGAGTTTGTTGTTTTTATACTTATATCACAAAATGAAGAATATAATATTTGTTTTGCCCGTAATTCTTTTTCCAAATTTGAGTAATTATCTAAAATTGTTTGCATATGATTATAATTGAATTTAGTAACAAACAATTCATTGTAAGTTTGATGGCAATAGGTAAAGCTAGGGGGGGAAATAGACTTTGAGGTGGGAGGGGGGGAAGAGAGGGGACAGTTTCACATCATTTCATATATCTCATTCCTCTTTCTTTCATAACATTTACAAACATAGGTTTGTCCCACCTATTAGTGACCTTTTCGAACAAGGTCGTTGACAGTGTTTCATTTGTGTGTGTGTGTGTGAGTGAGTGAGAGAGAGAGAGAGAGAGACAGAGAGAGACAGAGAGAGAGAGGGAGGGGTATGGTCCACGGCCACGTGGTCGTGGATTTCTTCCTAGCCAGGAGCGAAGGATTGATCCACGACCACATGGCCCTTGAGAACATAAGTTTCACATTGTACAAAAAAAGTCACAAGGTTGTGGACTGTCTTCCATCTGAGGAGAGAGAGAGAGAGAGAGAGAGAGAGAGAGAGAGAGAGAGAGAGAGAGAGATTATGAGGTCCACGACCACGTGAGCTTTTCGAATGCAATGTTCCCAATATGTCTTAAAGGTCACGTGGTCGTGAATTTTATCCCAGTCAGGAGACGAGGACCGATCCACGACCACGTGGACTTGGAGAACACACAGTGACACAGACACACATTGTACAAAAAACGTCACAAGGTCGTGGACCGTGTTCCATCTAAAAAAACAGAGAAAGAGAGAGAGAGAGAGAGAGAGATGAGGTTCACGACCACTTGACCTTTTCGAATACAATGTTTCCAATATGTCTTAAAGGTCACGTGGTAGTGGATTTTTCCCCAGTCAGAAGACGAGGACCGATCCACGACCACGTGGCCTTGGAGAACACAGTGACACAGACACACATTGTACAAAAAACGTCCCAAGGTCATGGACTGTGTTCCATCTAAGAAAACAGAGAGAGAGAGAGAGAGAGAGAGAGAGAGAGAGAGAGAGAGAGAGAGAGAGAGAGAGAGAGAGAGAGA